GGGTCCACAAACCCCCAATAGCCTACTGTACACACATCACAGCTACTGTTCTACGAAATCCCAGAATATCCGGATATTCCTCGGGGCATATCCGGATATTTAATATCCGGATATCTCTCTGGCAATATCCGGATATCCAGATCCCTATATCGGGATATCTATATCCGGATATCCATATCCGGATATCAATATCCGGATATTTCACGGGCAAATATCCGGATATTTCGCGACAAAATGCAGTTTCTGCATTTTCGCGAAGATATCCTTCCAAGGTTGGGGTTTTACTGATTTTAGACACTTAAGCATGCATTTCTAAGTGTGTTAAGCATTTCCCAACATTAAGTTATCATCTTTTAACCTTTACATGCATCAAGGTTCCATTTTTAAGCAAAAGAACTCAAGTTAAAGGGTGATGATCATACCACAAGCTCAAAACAGAGAATGGAGATGCTCTTGGAGCTCTAACACAGCCCCTCAAGTCTGACTCGGAGATGTGCACGAAAATAGCACCACAAAGGTTGGTTCTTTAACACCAAAGGCCACCACTTGGACCTCCAAATGCCATGACAAGGCTTCTCTCAACCCAAAACCACCAAGTCAGAACCAAAGTTCCTCACACAGCCCCTCTAACTCAGAAAACGACCAACAATACAGTCCCCAACGCTAACTCTCACCCTCACCAAGTGTTTAGAATGATGAAACAAGCATCAAAGGTGAATACTTGGTCAAGAAATGGTGAAGAAGGTCAAGGAGAGCATTTTTGGTCAGCCACCACAAAGAACTCACGCTCAAAGTCTGTTTTCTAGGGTTGTGTGCCCTTAAGAAGAGTATTTATAACGGTTTAACAACAAAACACACAGTATTAAATTTAATTTCTACGCTTAGCATTTTAATCCTAAACTTTGGATTCTTAACCTACTCAATTTTACAAGAATTATCATATTTTTATTATATTTTCAGAGCACCTTTCCGGTACGCGCTTTTCATAGCCAATATCAGTTTCTGGCACCAGTTCTCATTATTTTAACTTGAAACTCGTTTTACAAGTCAAATATATTATTCTAGTAATTATCATGTACTTATAATAATTTTTCGGGATACTTTTTCAGTACGCATTTATACCGACTAGCAGAACCGGTATCTGCACTTTTCTTCCGAAAAGCGACTTTCAGCATTCTTAATCACTTATCATAATTATTAAAGCCTCTTAATAATTATTAGGGTCAATTATGGAATCATTTCCTATTTTCTCATAATTAATTAATTAAATTCCTTAATTAACTGTGCGGGTTCTTACAGATTGGAATTGGACATGGTGTATCTTGGAGAAAGTGTTAATGAGTTAGGATTTATGGGGGGAAAAGAAATTAAACAATCAATGTGGTCATTTATATACCGAATTGGGCCATGTAGAAAGTTTTTATTTACATGTGATTTCATGACTTGTAATGTTGAGTGGACTGCTGATTATGGGATTGTTGATTGTGTAGCTTGAGATCAAGTGATGACTTGACGCTGGATCAAGCATTGGAGGAAGTTATTGAGGAAGCTTGAATACTTTATTTGGTGGAATATAGGGTAAGTCTTAGGACTAGTGTGTATGTTTGTTGTCGGTGATTGAATAACCATTATGATTATAGTTATGGTGAAATGCATGTTATTGATTATGTGTATGACCTTTGATATGTAATTTTTGGTGCAAAAAGTATATTGGTTGGCTTACTTCTGGAACAAGGAAGCTAGGCAAATGACTCCTTAGCACAGGTCTTTAGGTAACTATAGTGTAATGTGTGATGTTGTATGTGTTGCTATTTTATTGTTATATATATGCACATTGAGTGAACCATTGCATGGAAAGACCTCCAAAGACCATTGGTTTACTGAGATTCACCCCGTGTTTGGGGAACCACATTTTAGGTACTATTGAGGGTACTAGAGCATCTCAGGGCAGGAAGCTTGATTTGGCTTATGTAGCATTCTATGTGTTGGACATGCATATTATAGATTATTATGTATTTTGGAGATGCTTTATATTGATGTTCATATTTAAGTTTTGGATCATTGATGTATGATCATGTATTCTGGTATAGCCTTCGAATATTTGAGAGATTTGTATAATGTGAGGAAAGAACTTGTAATATAGTATTTGATATGGCTATGTGTTTGGACATTTGGGATGCAATTCTGATGTAAAGACATGGAAATGTATTTGTTAATGGTAATGAATTTCAAGATGTTTTGCATGTAAAGTTAAGATAATAGGTTAATTTGTAAATCAAGTAATCCCAAGAGTGACAACTTGTGATAAAAGAAAGTGGCATAAATGGATGAATAATGATACATGTAAATAGATGCAAATGCATCCATGTTTGTTGGGAATGTGGTTGACATTCCTTGTCAATTAGGTACTATGATTAGGTTGAGATAACCTCTAAGTTAGGAATGTAACTAAGTGCTGCCCATTTTTTTTATTATTGGGTTTACATCTTAGGATGTTCATAACTCACACAATTCTCAACCAAATGGGACATGCGAGATATCAAATTAAAGCTTAGGATGTCTACTTTTACGTCCTAAAATATGGAAACATTCTGGGTTGTATTCGTTCCCAATTTTTGAGAAAGTGCGCACTATCCATATTCGTAGTTATGCTGGCAATTTCTGGTCAGATTTTGTAAATGTCACATCTCCTTTGTTCCTTAACCAAATGGGGCATAAATATATAAATTAAATCCTCATATGTATAGTATCTTGTATTAAAATTTTAGAATTTACTAGGCAGTGAAACATTCCCAGTTTAATGTTGCTTCCCTTCTCTTGTCAAGTCAGTTTACAGCAGTTGACTTGCGACAAGCGTATCTTCAGCTATACAAGTCCAATCGAGGCTTGTAATATTTCGTTGGAAAGCTCAAGATGTCTAGTTTAATATATTAAAATATAAGAATTTATGATTATGTGGATTATTCCCAATTTTATAAAATGTGAAGTTTGTTCAATGTTAAGCTTACATGAAATGAGATTTAAGCCTTGTTGATTTATGGAGACCACTTGGCATTTATGTAGAATCAATGTATGGCATATTTAATTAAATTTTAAGTATTTTGCATAGTGTTTAAGTTATGATTGCAGTTTTGAATTGTTTTAATTACGGAAATAGTTTTAATAAGGAAAGCAATTATTAACATAAAAGATAAAGTTTATCCGTATTTTAATTCAATTGTTGTGATTGTAACTGCGTTAATGTCATACGTAATGATAACAAATCGGGATGCATACAGGGTGTTACATTCATGGGTACCATTATTGATTGTGTGTAAATGGTTGTTCATATCTACTATGTAACAGAGTATTTCTTGTAAAGTCTTATTGTTTAGGTTTCTGATTTGTTCTCTGTAATATTGGGGCTTTAAGGTATATTTGGGGATTTTGGTATTATAGTCTTAACTGAATATTGTGTACCCTTTTCTTTCTATTTTTACATAATGCAAGTATTAGGGAGTGGACTCCCAAGTGACCCTGAGGATGTAGGTAACTTGATTTAAAACCCAAGTTCTGAACCACTCAAACATCGTGTGTGTGATTTTCTCTCCTTTATCTTTATTTTTCTGTTTAAAGAAAATAGTATCCTTCCTCTGCAATTTTAACATCACCCCTAAATAGAACCAGCCAAAATAGAATTATGTCGAAGATAGATATGTCACCTAGAGAATTATGTTGAAGATGGATATGTCTCCTAGAGATGGGGGGTCGCATCAAAAAGTTTGCCCCTAGTTTTTGTCGTCATCAACATTATGAAAGTGGAAAAGTGTTGGAAAAGGTGGTCGAAGTTGAATTATGGAAGAATGGCAAGAAGGAAACAACGAACACGATAAAGACAAAGCAAATCAGGTTTTTTTTCTTTAATCAAAATAGTGTAGTTTTAGGGTCACAGGAGATAATTTTATCTCTGTCATATATCACTCGAATTGCAATTATGTATTCCCATGCATTTCCAACTCAATAATTATTTGAAAATATTTAGACAAAAGTTACTCGCTAAATTCAAAATAAAGAAGGAAATATGTGGTAACTTATATTTTTAAAACATATGATTTGAAAATTTTAAATCGTATCATATTTAATATTTATAATTTATTAATTAAATACATAAAAAGTACTATTAATGAAGTTTACAGTTGCGAAGTTAGAATTTTTTTTCATATTAAGCAAGTTATTTTATCCAGTATTATGAGGTGTGGGAAGGGGCAGATCCTGGGGATTAGGGTTGGCTGCCGCCCCCCACCACCTCAAAATTTAAAGAAAAATTTTTTACTTTAGATTTTTTTTTATCCGAAAGAGATTCCCTTTTTGTGTGTTGGTGAGAAAGCAAAGCAATAGTAACTTGAAAGGATGGAATCAACAACAGCTCCTTTATTGAGTGTGAGTGACAGTTGCACATCCCATAAACTCTTCTCTAAAATCCATCTTCTTATAACCTGCATGGCTCTCTCTGCAGCTTTGGCCTTTGCGTTACTCTTCTTGGATGCTAGATAAAATCATAATAAAAGTTGGATTATTTTTGCCCCGCCCCCCAATCTATAATAGTTTCTCTTCTTGCGTTCCAACTTTGGCTCTCCATGCAGCTTTGGTTATTTTTTCCCTCCAAATTAAGAATTTTGACTCCACCTGTTGCGACTCATTTGGATGGACTGAAGGAGAACAGACCCATTAGAGTCAGAAAGAAGCCCAATTACTTAGCAGACTATTTTCAATAGTCGGCCCACTTTATAGTATTAACAGATGTTGTAATGAAAACCCAGAAAATTAGAAACAGGAATAATGTAAGTGATACGAGTATATAGCCAAAGAAGGGCTGGAATAGAAGATATGAAAAAGTTGGACAATCCTCTCTCTAATTTCTCTCTCTCTCTACTCTTATCTCATCAATCCCTCCTTCTCCTTCTTCTGTTACAGATCTGAACCCTTACAAATTGGTGCTTTCATCCACCTCTTCCTCCCTTATGGCGGACAACACCAGAATGCGGGAATTACATCAACGATTGGAAACTCTTAAGCAGCAATTTCGTGCTGCCGAGTTGGTCCGCGAACAACAACACACTTCGCTTCAGGATTCTCATCTCCAATTACACACTTCCCAACAGCAATTACAGGATTCCCATACCCGCTTTCACCAGGATCTTGCTCGGTTGATTGAACTAAACACCAACAACCGAGGCATTTTGGGATCTACTCCCCAGGGTACCCCACCGCCTGTATCTGACAATTCCAGATCTCGTCACGTCAAGCTTGATTTTCCTCATTTCGCATCTGGTGACCCAACAACTTGGATCATATGCGTTGAAAGGTATTTTGCGTTTTACCAAGTTCCACTACCTGATCGTTTAAACCTTGCTGCTTTTCACTTGGACGAACCTGCTGCAAGTTGGTTTTACGGTTCTGACCAAAATGGGCTCTTAATTGACTGGCGAACTTTTTGTACGGCTTTACACCGCCGCTTTGGACCGTCCGAGTTTGACGACCCTGCAGGTGCACTAGCGAAAATTCAACAAACCGGTTCTGTACTTGACTATCAATCTTCCTTTGAGAAATTGGTGAGTAAAGTCACTGGTCTTTCTGCTACATTACTGCGTAGCATTTTTATTTCTGGGTTGAAGTCACACATTCGCAGATCTGTTCTCACTCTCAGACCTCAGGATTACCACGAAGCTTTTTCTCTGGCTCGTGTGTATGAAGATCAGGCTAATGAGAACCGCTCTTTTCGATCCTGGTCCACAGCTCCCAAAACCCTCCCGTCAACCTTCACTACCACCACAAATACACCCATCCCAGTTGTACCCATACGCCGCTTATCGCCAGAGGAAATGCAATTAAAAAGGGAGAAAAATCTATGCTACAACTGTAATGTGAAATACTCTTTTGGTCACAAGTGCAAAGGGCGTGCTGCCTTACTTTATTTCGAGGGAACGGACGATGACCCAGGTCCAGATGTGTCAGAACCTCCTGACCCACCTGTGGTTCCTCCTCCCTTTGAAGGTACACCAGAAATTAGTTTCAACGCATTGTTTGGCCACCACAATTCGAGGTCATTTCGTCTCACAGGGGCTATTAAAGGAAAGTCCGTACAAATTCTAGTGGATGGGGGTAGTACCCATAATTTCATTACTGCCCGTATGGCCATTTTTCTTGATTTAACCATGCAACACATTCCTCCTTTCCAAGTGCAGGTGGGAAATGGTGATACTCTCCAATGCACGGCCACGTGTGTAGCAGTGCCACTGTTTCTTCAGTCCAATATATTCTCTGTGGACCTATTTGTTTTGGACCTAAAAGGGGCTGACGTTGTGTTGGGTATCCAATGGTTATCAACCTTGGGCCCTATTGTTACAGACTACTCCCACTTAACTATGTCCTTTACCCACAACTCCTCCACCATACTCCTCCATGGTGATCAAGACCCACGTCCTTCCCAAATATCCAATGCCCAGTTACACAAGATGGTCGCCCAAAATTCTGTTTCCTCGTGTTTTATGTGCCTAACCAGTCAACAACCCACCCAGTCCCTACAAACACCTTTACCCACCCAGTCTATTCCAATACAACAAATTTTGTCCCAATTTCAAGATGTGTTCAATTCCATTACCTCCTTACCCCCAGACAGACCTTCCAACCATCACATTAACCTCCTTCCAAACTCTAAACCTGTCCAGGTTCGACCCTATAGGTACCCTCATTTTCAAAAGACTGAAATTGAGAAAATGGTCAACGACATGTTAACCAATGGGATTATTCAACCCAGTCATTCTCCTTTCAGTTCCCCAGTATTGTTGGTTCGCAAAAAAGATGGCACGTGGCGTTTTTGTGTTGATTATCGTGCTTTAAATGCGATCACCATACCGGATAAATTCCCCATTCCTACTGTGGACGAACTCCTAGATGAGTTACACGGAGCCCAGATTTTTTCGAAGCTGGACTTACGATCTGGCTACCATCAGATCAAGATGGCACCCATTGACGTCCACAAGACTGCTTTCAGAACTCACAGTGGTCACTTTGAGTTCCTGGTTATGCCCTTCGGGTTGTCAAATGCGCCATCCACTTTCCAGGCGACTATGAACCATGTGTTCAATAGATTCCTCAGACGTTTTGTCGTCATATTTTTTGACGATATCCTGGTCTACAGTTCGTCCCTACAAGCTCATTCTGAGCATTTGGTACAGGTGTTACAGACACTTCGGGATCATCATTTTTTTGCTAAACTTTCTAAATGTTCATTTGCTGTGTAGGAAATTCAGTTCTTGGGCCATATTATTTCTGCCCAGGGTGTCTCACCTGATCCTTCTAAGATACAAGCTGTCAAGGATTGGCCTACTCCTAAGTCAGTTACAGAGCTACGGGCCTTTTTGGGCTTATCTGGCTACTATCGCCGGTTCATACGAGGCTATGCTACAGTTGCAGCCCCCTCACTGACTTATTATCTACAGATGCCTTTGGATGGTCCCCAACTGCAGAGCAGGCTTTTACTGCACTTAAGACTCTATTGATTAATGCTCTTATCTTAGCTCTACCTAACTTTACCCTTCCGTTTGTTTTGGAAACGGACGCTTCTGGTGCTGGTATCGGAGCAGTATTACTACAGGAAAATCATCCCATTGCTTACTATAGTCGTAAATTATCTAAGCACATGCAAGCTAAATCTACTTATTTCAGAGAGATGCATGCCATCACCTCGGTTGTTGCCAAATGGAGGCAATATCTGCTAGGTTCATCCTTTGTTATAAAGACGGACCACAAGAGTTTGCATCACTTGATGTCTCAAGTGATTCAAACACCTGACCAACAGCAGTTCCTTGCGAAGCTGCTCGGTTTTAATTACTCCATCCAGTATAAACCTGGAAAGCTCAATGTTGCGGCTGACGCACTGTCACGCCAGCCGGAGGGGAGTGTTATGTGTTTATCCCCTGATTCCAAATTGATTAGTTATCCTACTTCTCAGTACAGTCCGCTTATACAGTCTGAATTACAAAAAGACTCATATGCTACTGCTATTTTACATGATTTACAAAGAGGATCTTCTAAATGGCCACATTGGCATCTTCACCAGTTTCCATCGGATCTCCACCGTACACCTCCGGTTCACGTTCCAGCTGCCTTTGTTGGCCATCGCTCGGTCTGGAAAAACGGAAAAGACACTCCTCAAGTATTGGTTCAATGGCGAGGCTTGCCACCAGAGGAATCCACATGGGAGGATGAGTCCCTTTTAGCCGCCGGAGTAATAGAAAAGGTTTCCCCTTTGCCTCACAACAGTCACCTTACCCAACGTCAAAGGACTTCTTTGGAAACTGAAGGTGCAAATGAAACAGCACAAAGTCCCACTGTCTCAACTTCAATTCAGACATTGGGCCACCAACCTGTCATTATTGCTGCCCCCCTACAGCCAATCAGGAGGAGGCCACGCGGATTCTTATCCCTTCCCCATCCAATCCGTCTTTAATGCTGGATAGCTGTCCACCCACTTCTCAACGGCTACCAGCCACCGACAGCTCAGTTACACTAAGTAGGAAGGCACACGATTTGGGCCAACCCAGCACAGGCCTAAGCAACATCGCGGACGATGTTAGTTTTGATAGGCGAGGGAGTGTTGCGACTCATTTGGATGGACTGAAGGAGAATAGGCCCATTAGAGTCAGAAAGAAGCCCAATTACTTAGCAGACTATTTTCAATAGTCGGCCCACTTTATAGTATTAACAGATGTTGTAATGAAAACCCAGAAAATTAGAAACAGGAATAATGTAAGTGATACGAGTATATAGCCAAAGAAGGGCTGGAATAGAAGATATGAAAAAGTTGGACAATCCTCTCTCTAATTTCTCTCTCTCTACTCTTATCTCATCAATCCCTCCTTCTCCTTCTTCTCTTACAGATCTGAACCCTTACACCACCACTCGGTGTGGTGGGATGTACTGTTTCATTGTGTAAGTTGGGTAGTTGTTGTATAAACTCACTTGGAGGTACTAGTATGGGTGAAAGAGTAATGAGTGTTATAGAAGTTTTTTTTTGTATACATAGGAAAGAAAACAAACAAACTAGATATTAACAAATCTGGGCACTAAAGTGCCCCTAACATCCTCAGAAACTAGGTGCCTACACCCCTCAGGTATACTAACAAACCAATTTGTATTCCAGTCAGTTGTGCCCCCAATAACAGCCAACCAATTAGCTACTTGGTTCCCTTCCCTATACATATGGCAAACCTCAACTCTCCAGTCCTTCTCAAGCATCAATCTGATCCTAGAAACAATCGAGTAACAAGGATTAGAGCTGACACATCCCTCTTTGACCAGATTAATAGCCATCAAAGAATCATTTTCCAGAACAATCAGCTTCAGTTTATGATCTCAAGCCCATTCCAAACCTATTATGAATCCCCAAAGTTCAGCCATTAGTGCTGATTCTGGGTATAACTTCCTGGAAAAACCTATGACCCATCTTCATGTTTCACCTCTTAAGACCTCACCACAAGAAGACCTCATTCCATTACCAGAGAAGAAGCCATCAGTGTTCATCTTGATCCACCCAGGAGAAGGAGCTTTCCATCTTATCAAGATCTTTTCCTCCCTTTCCAACTCTAAACCAGCACCTGCTAACATACCATTAGCCATCTTAATGTTATCTAAATAGAGAGAAGCTTGAGAGAATAAGTCTAAGTGAGTTGAGCTTTTTCCTTTGAACACTAAGTTATTCCTATCCTTCCATATAAACCAGCAAATCACCCTAAATTTCAATCTCCAAGACATATTCTATTTTCCCCTATGTAAGTTCCTCAACAACCAACTGTCTATATCACTCTCTATGAATGACATTATCCCCCTCCTGTCAACCCACAAATTCCACACCTCACATGCCCAAGCGCATTTTCTGAAAACATGATCAATATCTTAACATATTGCATTGCATCTGGGACAGGCTCCACTGTCTGACATATGTCTTCGAATTCTTTCAGCATTTGTGAGAAGCTTATTGCCAACCAAGAGCCAAAGGAAAATATTTATCCTTTGAGGACCTTCCCACTTCCACACAATGTTCCAGACTTTAGGATCAGGATTCTCACAAGCCAAGGAAAGATATTTGTATGCAGAACTGATGGTAAAAGAACCAGAACTAGAATAGTTCCATATCAACTTATCTTGCTCATCCAGATTCCAAGAGGGCTTTATTTTAGCTATAGCATCCAGAGTTTCACTGGAAAAGAGAAAATCAAATCTACTCCAGTCCCAATTCCCCTCTTTTACACACTCCAGGACCTTCCATCTCTTAGCTTCTTCAGGGACATTAAAAATATCCAGATCAATAAGCCGGCCAGTATTAGGAACCCATCTATCAAACCAGAAGGAAGTTTTTTGATCCATCACCAATAATAATTCTAGAGCCTTCAAGGACCTGGTCCCAAACTTTTTGGATCTCTTTCCAAGTATTGGAAGTATTGCTGCTTCTTCTCAAATCAGGAGCATGAGTATCCTCCACCTTGTACTTGCTACGCAACACCTTAACCCACAACTCCTCCCTATTAGATAAAAGCTCGAAACCCAACTTCATGGAAAAAGCTTTATTGATAAGTTTTTGGTCCCTGAATCCCAGCCCACCATCTTTCTTAGATCTACATAGTCTCTTCCAGCTCACCAAGTGGGTTTTTCTTTGCACCTGAGAAGAACCCCATATAGAACTCCTAGTTAATTTCTCCACTTCATTGCAAACCCCAAGAGGAATCACTGCAGATTGCATGGCATAAGCAGGCATTGCTTCTAAGACTGATTTGGCTAGAGTAGCCCGACTAGCCAAAGATAAGGAAGATTGATTCCTGCCAGATAATCTCCCTTGGACTCTATCTAGCACATTCCTAAATGTATTCTTGGTTACCCTTTTATTATGGAGGGGCACACCAAGGTATTTGCCCAAATCATAAGTTATTCATATGCCAAGGGCTTCACTAATCTTTTTAGCTCTCCCCAGGTTAACATTTTTAGAGAAAAAAACTCTAGTTTTTTCCTTGCTGACTTTATGACCAGAAGCTCCAGCAAAGATTTTCAGCACCTGATTTATAACATAGGCTTGCTCCAAGCTTGCTTCAGCACACAATATTATGACATGTGCAAAAAATAGATGAGAGATAGGAAAAGCATTCTTCCTCAGAACAATGGGCTTCCAGGCTTTGGTCTCCACTGCCAAATGAATTAGATGGGCCAACCTTTCTATACAAAGTACAAATAAGTAAGGGGATATAGGGTCTCATTTCCTCATATCTCTCCTCGAATTGATCCTTTTGGTAACCACTCCATTCCAAAGAAGATTCACAGAGGTTGTGGATATACAGTTGTACACTAACTTAACAGGATGGTCAGGGAAGCCAATGTCCTTCATAGTATTCATAATAAAGCTCCAATTAAGACGATCATAGGCTTTTTCCAGGTCAACCTTTATCATCATCCATCCTTTACTCCCTTTTCTGGCCCTCATAGAATGAATAACTTCCTGGGCTATGATTATATTATCAGCCCCTTGTCTACCTTTAATAAAATTTCACTGATTAGGAGAGACAAGTCTAGGCATCAGATCCCTCAATCTCCCAGCAATAATCTTTGTAATGGTTTTATAAACCACATTACAAAGACTAATGGGTCTAAAATCCTTCATACTCTCTGGGCTCTCCTTCTTGGGAATTAGGCAAATTAAAGTGTCATTGATCTCTCTCACCTTATCTGGAAAGCAAAAGATCTCCTCAATAAGTTTACAAACAGAATCACCAATGACATTCCACTGAGTATGAAAAAATATGGCACTCAAGCCATCAAGACCAGGGGCCTTGAACTTGCCCATCCTGAAAATAGTTCTCCTTATTTCCTCCTTGCTGGGCATAACCGAAAGGAACCTTAGCTCATCAGGATCTAAACTAGGGGAGGCATTTTGGATAGGATAATCCTCATCCACCTCCTCCTCAGCTTTGAAGAGATCTTGGTAGAAAGAGACAGTCATGTTTACCAATTCCTCAGTATCAGCAACCTAATCACCCTGCCCATTCTTAAGAGTAACTATCCTATTGTGTCTTCTCCTGGCTATTGTGGAGAAATGAACAAATTTTGAGTTCTTATCCCCATACTTCAACCATTGGTTGTGCGATCTCTGGAACCAGATCAATTCCTCCTTCACCAAGATTGCTTGGAGCTCTTTCCACAATCTTTTTCGCAACAACTCTGTATTATGGTCAAACCTACCGTACTTAAAACTATCAAGCCCATTCAGCCTGGAGTACAATCTATTCTTGTGCTTAATACTCTCCCTGAAGAAATTTTGGTGCCAACTTCTGGCCTCAATCTCAAACTTATTTCTAGCCATCAGCCAACCCACACTATTCTCCCAGCTCTCCTTAACCAGGCTATTAAAACTATGATCAGTGAGCGAGGCAGCCAGGAATTTAAAGCTTCTAGTATGCATCTCAGGTTTAGCATGCCCATCATTGCAAAGAAGGATAGGCCTGTGATCCGAGTTAAAGAAAGAGAGGTGGGTAACAAGCCGGTCAGGCCAAGCAATATTCCAAGCTTCACTAAAACACGCCCTGTCCAATCTCTAATGGAGTTTTCCCCTTTTCCAAGTGAAGTCAGGTCCCTTATCACCCATATCACTTAAATTACATCTAAATAAGCATTGTTGCATCTCTGATATACTGTTCCAGCACACCTCCTTTCCTCCTGTCTTCTCAAAAGCATTAAGAATAGAGTTGAAGTCTCCCATTATCAACTAGGGTTCTTCAACCGAAGAACTAATGGACCATAATTCATCCCAGAGAATCTTCCTTTCCAGTCTCCTAAGACTGCCATACACAAAGGTGATCAGATCCACCTTTTTAGAATCCAAATATTTAATCCGTGTGTGAATAAACTAGTGGTGAGTTCTCAGAACCTCCAAATCCACCAAGCTATCATCCCATAAAATCCATATACCACCATAGAAACCAACCGGGTCCTGTCTAAAAAACATAGGGAAACCCAGCTTTTTTATTATCTTATCTCCTCTCGAGCCACTAACTTTGATCTCTTGAAGAGCCATTATACTAACTTTAAACCTGAATTTTAAATTCATAATCAGGGTAGGGAAACTAGTCTTCTCCACCCCTCTGCAATTCCAAGAAAAAACAAACATAAAACAGTTAAATTTGTACATAGGAAAACCTCAAGAAGGTTAGCTGCAAACCTAGTGGGTGACTGTCCCACCCAACATAGTGGAAGAGTTCTGAGAAATCACTTCAATCTGGCCAAGACACAATTTTCAACAATGAGTTAGATTCTTCACTTTGATCCTTCCTGTTGCTATTGCTAGTTCCACTCCCTGTCTTAGCTGACCCTTCAGAGATGGCTAAACTTCTAGCTCTGCCCTTACTAGCCCCTTTACTTGACCTCTCCAGAACTGAGTTTGGAGAAACATTCTCAATCCCTGATTTCTTCAAACCTTGCTTGCCACCAGCCTTAGCCCTGTCCTTCCCATCTTTATTAGAGTTCCTTTTAGCTCCATTATCTGGTGATCTTATCTTCTTTTGAGGACTGGATACAGGACCAGTACCCTCTTTGATTAGGATCCCAGGAACCTCTTTCACTGCCTTACTCATGTCAGCATTTGCAATGCCAGTCCTAGGATGAGGACTGACAATTTGTTCTTCCATCATAATCTCCTATCCTTTCTCAGTATTAGGACTGGCTTCAACACTAGTGCACTAAACTTCTGGGTTAGGCTTAATTTTCTGCTCCCCTTCCATATCCTTCCTTGGATTCATGACTTTGGCCTTCAACTTTCTGTTCCTTGGTTGCCTCTGGACCACCATCCAGTTCCCAAAGGCCTCATCCTTCTCACTCTCCCTTATCTCTTTCACCCTCAACTTTTCCTTGACTGGAATATCTTTCTCATGTTGGTTACACAGAACTTGTTCAGCTGGGCACTGATCCTTCATGTGACCATACAATCCACACTTGAAACATATCAAGTAGAGCCCCTCATAGCCAACCTGATACACCTGATTCCCAATCATGAATTTAGAAAGAAAACTCTTCCTCAGGTCAACTTCTACACATATCCTGGCAAAATGAGCTCTCTCGGTGATTACCTCCTCACCAAATTCACTCTTCCTCAGGGAGTTCCTGTCCACTTTAAGAGTTCGTCCAAATATGTTACCAATTCGCCATAAGTGACGCATCGTGTACAACCCGATTGGCAGTCCAGGAATTCTGACCCACACAGCCAATTTTTTGACACTCTCATCATACGGGTCAAAGAATGGCCTCCATCGTTTAACAACCACATAGTGGTCATTCACTATCCAAGGCCCTTCTTCTAAGACATGACAATAATCGCAATCATCTTGGAACCTCAGAAGTAAATAACCATTATCTAGGTCAATGGCTTCAAACAAACTTACCAGGTTCCATAGTCTTTGTAATCTGGCCATCAGAAATCTTGAACCAATACGTTTCCCTAACAATTTGATGATTAGGGCCTTCCTCCATTTTTCACAATCTTTTTTGTTCTCCTCCATAGAAAACGTGTACCTCGGGAAAAAAGGATCCACCAGAGCCTCCTGGGACAAACCTTCCACCAGTTCCTCCTCCTCATCCTCTCTCTTTTGCTTAGAGATCCAATCTTCTTCCTCGTCATCCGACTGTCCTCCCTTGCTATTTAGCCTAAGTAGTTTGTCCTTGTAGGATACCATTTGCAGCGCACACCCGTGCTAGCCTCCGTCATCTTCTTTTCTGGAACCACGAGATGTGGTTGATTAAGAACAGGCTCTCCTAATCCCTCCTCATGCATTTCATCGTCCAATGCCAGATCTTCCATCTCAGCACCTTTCGGCTTCTTGCCCTTTCGAAGAGAAATTTCCTCTTCCGAAAGGGACCTATCTCTCGAACTCTTCGATCCATCCTCATCCGTTAGTGATTGTTGAGTAGTCTTCTCAGTCTCCATTGTCATCAGAAACCCTCGCTTAAAGAACCCTAGCAGAAAGGAAAAAATCGAGCGCGTGAAGCTACGCTCTCACATGTTGATATTGCCGCCATAGAGTTTTAATATACATGAGAGAGAATGTTATTTGCAGTGATGTCGGACATGCTATATCTAGGTTACTGAGGGAATATTCTAGGGAGTTTGACACCGGGCGGTTGCTTTGCAAGGATGAGGTATGTGCCTAAACATGGCGAAAAGTCATGCATGAAATTTTTATTTAGCATGATTGGCAAGATATTTTGTTATAATAATGTTTAATCATGCAATTGAGGGTAACCATTGGGGCAAGACTAAAGGGCGAAAGATCCAATCTGAAACATTTCCTAATAAACAAATCAACAATCACTTCCGGATGTCGATCAACTTCACCAGTGACACTGGTTGATTTAAAAATTGATTTTATATATTGCTATAAAAATAATATGTATACATATATAATTTTTATTTATTACTAATTTTTATTTATTACTATTTTATATCTAAATTTTACTTTATACTAATAAATATGGGAAATGTTATATTTACAAACTTTTTGTTTACAAACTACACTATCGTTGACTGGTAAGACACTCTTGAGTGAAGTCTGACCGGTCAGACATAATATAATTTGTATGTTTGTAAAAAAAAAAGTTTGTCAATATATATAACCCTTCTCAATAAATATTTATAATTTACATATTATTCTTGAGGGCAATAATACTTACCACCATTTTAGATTTATTACTCTTACTATCTAATTGGTTACTGTTGAATTAATTTGAAATTAACAGCATTTAATTTTTTTCTTTTTTCAACCGTTGATTTTACATTGATCTAACGGTAACCAAACAGGTGGCAAAAGCGATAAGTCTAAAATGATGGTAATTATAACCTTCTCCATTATTTTTATTTATACTTTTTTTTTTCATATTATGTGTTTTGATAGAGAACTAATTTTGGCTATTGATAAGTCTCGACTAATCCACTTAATTATGCAGCTTCGTAGGTTAGGACAAAAGAAACCCCTCACAAAAAGGACTATCAATTAAAGGCCCAAACAGAGAGTTTTGAAAACTAGCACATGAATTTTAGCCTATTTTGATTGCTCTATCATAGAGGTGATAATTTTCAACCGAACCCGTGGACAGCACACAAAAAAATTATGTTCATATTTACCCGTTTCCAAATTCATATTATGTTTGTGATAGTAAAAAATTGACAAGAAAAATTTGTATCGTGTTACATGTCAACCCACAAACACAAGATTAACTTGTATTAATCTTCTTATAAATTATTTGTGTCGTGTTGTGTCATATACATATTATTCGCATGTTATGTCAACCCTCATAATAAGCAACACATTTTGAGGTTAATTATTAAGTTATTTGTATTGTGTTATGTTAACCCGCAAAATAAGTGGATCGTATTCATGTCAAAAAATTTAACCCATTTTCAAATATTTTTATTCGTGTTTGTGTCAACTTCGTATCATGTGGACCCGAATTGCCACCACTATAGTTTATCCAAAATCAAGCCAAAAGAACGCGTAGAATTAAAAACCAACATAGATTTCAAAGAAACTCTTAATTAATACTAAAGCATATGCGAGGGACATAAAAGGATATTTATCATTCAATAAAGATAAGTCAAATCCTATTATATATATGCACTACTTTTCAAAAGTAATTTACTACAATCAATAGTTTAAGAAAAATAAAATAAAATTCCTAAAAATGAAAGTCATAAAAATAAGGTAAATCTCAAAAGTAACATAATTATTCTTATAACAAAGATAAATAACTACAAATTATTTTGCACCAACAAGTTCCTAATTGCATCGCATCACACCCATAAGTCACACTATGGAGCACCCTTCATCTGAATTGTTCATCGGAGGATAGTATGGGTAGCTCCCCTGTGGAGGATCATAGGGTGGATAATTACCAGCTGAAGGATAATATGATGAAGGATAATACCCTTGTGGGGGACAAGCATAGTACCCTTGTGGAGGATATGAAGGGTTTCCTTGAAGATGTGAAGAATTATCTCTATCATCGGTAAGCTCCGGTACGTTTGATTTGTCCACCACAGATGTAGATCCTTCATCTTTCTTTTCTTTTTTCTTTTTTCCCCCTTTGGCCTTTGAAGAATCATCTCCATCATCAACAATCTTCGGTACATTTGATTTGTCCACCATTGAAGTAGATCCTTCATCTTTCTTTTCTTTTTTCTTCTTTTCCCCTTTGGCCTTTGAAGAATCATCTCCATCATTAGTAAACTTTGGTACATTTGACTTGTCCACCGTAGATGCAGATGCTTCATCTTTCTTTTCCTTTTTCTTTTTTTCCCCTTTGGCCTTTGAAGAATCATGCTCTACTAGGTTTGATGTGTCCACCATAGATGTAGATGCATCATCTTTTTTTTCTTGTTTCTTTTTTTCCTCTTTGGCCTTTTTAACCCCATTTTGCTCGCTAGAGTTCACGGGTGCATTCACTCCTTCCATTCCATTCTTTTTGCTCCTATTCTGCATTATTCAAATTCATTTGTTCGTTAACATTAACAAGATTAAATAACATATATGTTACAAAACTTAAAAAAAAGAAAAAGCGTAAATACCCTTTTTGGTCTCAGCAAATTTCACGATGCCCGCTTTAGTCCCTAGCAAATACAAAGGTCCGTTATGGTTCCAAAAAAATTCAAAATGGACCCATTTTAGTCCTTTTAGGGACTAATATGGGTCTTTTTGAATTTCTGAGGGACCACAATTTTAACTAAATAGGTCCATTTTGAATTTCTTAGGGACCATGATGAGCCTTTTTATTTGCTAGGGACTAAAGCGGGCATCGTGAAATTTGCTGAGGACCAAAAATGATATTTACTCAAAAAAAAAAAAAAAAAAAACTAGTCATAACAAAATATATAACTTTTTGTATGTAAGTATAAACTTTAGAACTAAACATCCTGTCGGACACATCTTAGTCAAATACCAAATATTAGTTTTTTTTGTTTCCACTCGTTGTGTCCCCTCCTCAAAGTTAATATGCATCACTTTTTGATATTCAAACAGGTTTAATTCGGTTCGAGCACAATTAAACTTATATTGCAGACAATTCTTTCAACAACATTTTCTCCGTTCCCGTGAATCGATTAATATATATCACTAGTCATACACGTCCTACTCCTATATAGGAACATTTTAATCATTGAAAATATTTAACTATCTAAAAAAAGGATGCAATAGATAGCTAGCCTTGTGGGATTAAACATCTCAAGAATGCAAGCGTGCGTGCGTGCATAACGGAAGAAAAAAAAAAAAAAAAAAAAAAAAAAAGCTATAGACAATATATTACCTTGAAAAAACAAAACATCTCTATTCTCTCCCTTCTTTTTTTCTCTCCAATATGTTCTTTATCTGTATTTGCATCTTTAAATTTTCTACACGGGGTACAATTTATAGCAAAAGCTAATCAGCATCCCTATCCCCCTCAACCCTTCCATTAAGATTTTCGAAACTCGTGATAAATCTCAATTAATTTTATCTTACATTACTATAATTAATTAGCACATCTTTCATTTATTTTACTACTAATCGCCATCACTAATGGGGCATTTATGTGTGTCATTAATTTATAGCATAAATCTTTGTCATATGTTCATGCTAAGTTGTCATAATTAAATTGTAAAAATTTTATTGATTTCTATAAATAAAAAATCAGCATTATTAATGGGGCATTAATATATAAAGGTTAATTGATAATATAAAATTGATAAAAAAAATTCAATTTACTAGCCATATTATTGATTTCACGATTCTTTTAAATTAAATATATTTTGTTAATACATGAATTCTTTTTATAATTTTATTTTTTCAATCTATAGTTTTTAAAATATATCTAAATTGATTATTTATGCATCTCTTAGAATTTTAAATATTTTTATTTTAAATATTTTTTAATCTAAATTTAATTTGTTAAATGTATCTAAATTTAAAATATCTGTATAATCTACCAAAATTTGTCACTCCTGCTAAGTGCTTATTTGAGAAATTTTATTTTTGGCTTCTCTTCTTCTTATAAAGAAAAATTTAGCCAAACATGTTTTTACAAAAGCACTTATTGTATAAAGAACTTTTTGTTATTGTTAGAGATATCAGTAGAGATAAATTAGGGGATTTGATTGATTGTAATCATGTATCAAATACAGCCTGTAAAGAGGGAAATTCTTTGATTGTGGACAAAATAATTTGGCCCAATTATTGTATCACTTATTATTTATATTGAAAGAAACCTTCCTCCAGAAATATATCTGAGAGGGGAAAAAATATCATCGTGGATATAAGTCTAATGGCTGAATCACGATAAATCTCTCTGTTCTTTATTTTTTACATAGTATCAAGAGCGGGTTAAAATCCTTCCCAGAATTTTTTTTTTTTTTCCTTGTTTTAAAAAGAAAAAAAGAGAGAGAACTTTTTTCAAAAACAAAAAAAAAAACCCTTCCCCTGTAACCATATTTTCCCATTCTCGGTTTCTTATCACCGCCCCACAAAAAGGTTCCCTCTCCCCTGTTACTTGAATTTTAATTTTTTGTTTCTTCCTTTTCGATTTTTAATCTCCAAGTCAAGCCGTCTTGCGAGAGAAGGCAGCGGATTTGAAATTACCGTCATCGCCTGTTCATTGCCATCTTCAAGTGCATGCTGTCGTCGATCACAATCCCACTGTCACGCCATCTTCTTGTCGGCAGCCGCCCGTGTGCTGCTTGTTCTCTATTGCACCTGTTCATGGTTGTCTCTGCCATGGTGTGTTGTTCCTTGTACTTGTGATCTGTCAATGCTTGTGTTGATTGTACCAGCAGATCTTGAACCGAGTTTTATGTGAAAAGTTTGGTGTTTGACGAGGATCAACATTTACCAGGTTCCTATTTTATTTGGATATTATTTTTTTCTTTGGTGGTTTATTTTTCTGGTCTGTGTTTGGTTTCATGACTGCTTCCGACAAGACCAGTACCACCGATGTTGGACGACCCACTGTCATCCTTCTTAATGGCCGGAATTATATGCCATGGAAGCGCGCTGACTGATCGAGCTCCAACCAAGACAGATGTCTCCTACACGGTTTGGAAAGCATCCGACAATCAAGTACTAATTTGGTTGTTCAACTCAATGGAGCCTGACGTTTATGAACTCTTTGCATATTCTGATACTGCCAAGGATCTGTGGGAGTCGGTGGCACAACACTTAGGGCATACACACAACGCCTCTCGCATTTATGAGCTCCAACAAGAAATCCACACGACCCACCAGCTTCCTTCTCAGTCGTTCACTGAATACCTTGGCCAATTAAAGAGAAAATGGGATGAGCTTCGACAGTATCGTCCCACAGCAGCGGTAGTGACTGACTATGTAACCCGAGAAGAGCAAGATCGGATATTTACTCTCCTTGCTGGCATCCGACCAGAATATGAGTCTCTCAAGCGTCAAATTTTAATGACATCTCATTTTCCCTCCTTCACATCTGTTTGCAACATCATTCATCAAGAAGAGACACGTTGTCGTGCCATGAATCTGATGTCCCCCGCTACCAGTGATCGCATTGACCATTCTCCACACCACTTGCTTTCTCGGGAGATTCTGTTACCCAATGCAAGCATTTTCTCTTCCTCTGCTTCTATTTCTACGCCTATATGTCATATGGGACGTTCAGGTCCTAAAGGGAGAGGGAAAGGGCGTGGTAGCAACAGATACCACTGTGATCACTGCAACAAAGATGGTCACTCCCGTGAACAATGCTGGCTATTGCACCCACACCTAAAAAAGGAGCGCATTATTGGTGCGAATAGTACTATATCACAATCACCTTCAGCGGAATTACCTGACGATCTCCAATCTACATTGGGAAAACTTGTTGTTCATCTACAGGAATACCTTAACCTTGGCACCACTGGAAAACCTTCAGATGCTAGTCACTTTGTCCATGGTGGTATGTCCTCTGCATTTACTAGTTATTTTCCTCGATCCTTTATTATTGATTCAGGTGCTACAGAGCATATGTGCCATGATTCCTCCTTATTACATGATATATCTGATACTGATCGCATTGCTCCTATAACTGTTGCAAATGGAAATAAAGTCTCGGTTATGGGTTTGGGAAAAATTAATCTATTCGACAAACGATCAAATACTCTATTTGTTCCATCTTTATCTGCTAATTTACTATCAGTTGCCAAACTTATGCAAGATCTGCATTGCAATGTTATATTTTCTGCAAAAAAAAGGTGATATTTCAGGATGCTCGCATCGGGAGGAAGATTGGTGAAGGTCCTTGTCAGAATGGTCTCTACATACTTCCCACGTCAACCTTGGGCCTTTCAGCAGCTTGTATGGCGGGGGAATCCCAACTATGGCACTGGTGCATGGGTCACCCCTCTGATAAGATTTTGAATCATGTTGATTCTAAATTTATCCTTGATTCAAGCACTTGTGATACATGTCGTTTTTCTAAAGTTCATAGATTGCCCTTTGGTAGTAGTGATCATGTTTCTTCTACTAGTTTTGAACTTGTTCACTCTAATGTATGGGGGCCTACCCCAGTTGACTCTTGTGATGGTTTTCGATGGTTTATTACTTTTATTGATGACAAATCTCGTTGCATGTGGCTTTACTTATTGCGCTCCAAGTCTGACGTGTGTGATATTTTTCAGGAATTTTATCAAATGATTAAAAATCAATTTGGGGTGAGTATTAAAATTTTGCGTAGTGACAATGGTACCGAATATGTTAATCACTCTATGCAGACATTTCTTAAATCTGTGGGAATTGTTCATCAATTATCCTGTGTCGGTACCCCTCAGCAAAATGGCATTGCCGAGAGAAAGAATCGACATCTGCTAGAGGTCACTCGGTCCTTGCTTTTTCATGGCAATATTCCCTCTAATTTTTGGTCCTACGCAGTACTCACAAGTTGTTACCTCATCAATCGCACACCCAGTAAGCTACTTCGGTACAAATCTCCATTGACAGTACTCTATGGTCGAGATATTAATCTCTCTCATCTACGAGTCTTTGGTTGTGTGTGCTTTGTTCACCTGCAAAATACCCATAAACTCGAGCCTCGTGCCACTAAGTGCATTTTCTTAGTGTACTCGCCTATCAAAAAGGGCTACAAGTCTTATGATTTTGTCGCCAGGAAGTTATATATTTCTCACGATGTTTATTTCGATGAAAGGTCCATGTACTTCTCTTCTAGGGACAAAAATCAGGGGGAGATTGGAATCGTAAGTCAACTTGATTTTTCTCCCAAACCAACTTCTTGTGAAATAACAGATATAGTTGATGCAATATCACCAATAAATATGGCACCAAACGTCGTCCCACCTATAAATGTGGTATCAGATGAAGCACCACTAGCAGATATTGTACCAGATGTAGTACCACCCCTTCTTGATTTGCCTAAAGCCGAGATATCCACCTCTAATCCACCAGTAATGCAAGATCAACCCATGTGTAGGCCAACCAAAACCATCAGACCATCAACTAAATTGAAGGACTATGTCTCTACGGCTGTCACTTACCCTATTCAAGATTATGTTAGCCTTGACCATGTTTCTAATGGACATAAGGCATTCTTGACTGCCATTGACAAGCATCATGAACTTGCCACCTTTGAAGAAGCAAAGCTAATTCCAGAATGGCAAGCTGCTATGAACGATGAACTAGTTGCTCTCGATAAAAACCACACTTGGGAAATTGTTTCTCTTCCTAAAGGAAAACATACTGTTGGTTGCAGGTGGACTTATAAAATCAAATATCAAAGTGATGGGTCCATTGAGCGACACAAAGCTCGGCTTGTCGCTAAAGGGTACACTCAGACTTATGGTGTAGATTACACAGAGACCTTTGCACTAGTAGCAAAAATGAACACTGTGAGGGTCCTTATGTCAGTTGTCGTCAATCATGGTTGGCCACTTTTCCAAATGGATGTTAAAAATGCCTTCTTGCATGGAGAACTTGAAGAGGAGGTCTACATGGATCTACCTCCAGGTCACCTTGAATCTCAACCTGGTAAGGTGTGCAAACTAAAGCGAGCAATATATAGTCTAAAGCAATCTCCTCGCGCCTGGTATGGAAAGTTGAGCAAAGCATTCACTGCTTTTGGGTTCTTCAGAAGTAAGTCAGATTATACCTTATTTATCAAACACTGGGCTGGAAATACTATTGTGGTCCTTATTTATGTAGATGATATAGTTATTTCCAGGAATAATATGATCGAGATAGATAAATTGAAGAAACATCTCAATATGACATTTGACATTAAAGACCTGGGGCGTTTAAAGTATTTCCTCGGTATTGAAATTGCTGAATCTAATAAAGGCTTATTCATCTCACAAAGGAAATATGTATTGGATCTCTTGAAGGAGACCGGTAAGTTGGCATCCAAACTGGTTGATACTCCTATGGAGTACAAAGGGAAGTTTGAAAATGACTCCACTCTTATATCTGACCCAAGACACTTTCAGAGACTTATTGGCAAGTTAATCTATCTCACCATAACCAGACCAGATATCTCTTATCCGGTGAGCTATGTTAGTCAATTCCTACACAAACGAACACAAGATCACATGAATTTAGCATATCGGATACTTAATTACTTGAAGTCATGTCCAGGAAAAGGCATATTGTTAAAAAAGAACAACCACACTGATATTATTGGGTATGCTGATGCTGATTGGGCTGGTAGCCCTTATTACAGACGATCCACGTCTGGTTTCTGCACCTTTGTGGGAGGCAACCTTGTTACCTGAAAAAGTAAAAAACAGAGTGTAGTAGCTCGTTCCAGTGCAGAAGCTGAATATCGTGTTATGGCCTCAGCCACCAGTGAGCTTTTTTGGCTCAAAGATCTCCTGTTCGACCTCACCTTGAAGAAAATAGAGCTCCTTATTAAGTTGTACTGCGATAACCAAGAAGCTATTCATATTGCATCCAATCCTGTGTTTCATAAGAGAACTAAACACATTGAAGTGGATTGTCATTTTGTTCGAGAAAAGTTCAAGCTAAGATAATTGAGACACCTTATATCTGAAATGAAGATCAACTTGCGGACATGTTCACAAAAGCTCTTCCTAAGAACTCCATTCAAAACATCATTACCAAGTTAGGCTTTATTGACATCTTCGCCTCAACTTGGAGGGGGAGTTAGAGATATCAGAGGAGATAAATTAGGAGATTTGATTGATTGTAATCATGTATCAAATACAGCATGTAAAGAGGGAAACAGATCATGTGATTTCTTTGATTGTGGGCAAAATAATTTGGCCCAATTATTGTATCACCTATTATTTATATTGAAGGAAACCTCCCTCCAAAAATAAATCTGAGAAGGGGAGAAATATCATCAGTGTGGATGTAGGCCTAATGGCTGAACCACGATAAATCTTTGTGTTCTTTATTTTTTACAGTTATAATTAATAAAAAAAACTAAAATCTATCAAGAGAATTTTTTTTAATATATATATATACACTACTTTTTTTTTGGATTTTTTAGAACTCTCATAATTATTATTATTATTTTTGGTAAAAGGAATTCTCATAATTATTTTTTAGTTTTATCGAAATTCTAAATTTATATTTATTAATTCTACTCTTTATTCTAATAACAAATATTTGTATCTTTCATTTTTCAAAACCCTTAAAACAGTTTTATATAATAATCAAACAATTTTTAGTTTTATTTTTTAAACTTTTTTTTTTTTTACTTTAACTTAAAATTAACATTTTAACTTAAAATAAGATTAGTCAAACAGACTGTAAACAGTCGAGTGCTCATGCACTCTAACTCGTTTTTCGGTTTTGTTTCTTCTATTAATAACATTCATGTACACATCTACAAAGACAAAAGTAACAAATATAAGTGCTTCTGCGCTCAAGTATTTCATAGCTAAGATTTTTCTTTTCTTTTCTTAAGACGTAAATATTATTTTCGTTTTTTAGCTTATACTTGTTTGAAAATTGTGCTTGGGCTTGACATAGATTTTTACCTGATTTTATGATGGTGCAATATTTAAATGCTAGTAATAAGGGAAAAAAATTGCGTCGAATTTCTGTATCAACATATATTATCAAAAAATTAAAGATAATAAATGTTGAAGGAGAATTGAAATCTCATGTCGTAGAGATAAAAAGCATGTGGGACCCATGTGTTAGAAAAAATTATATGTAAGACCCATGTCAGCACGGAAATCGAAGGGTGTGTAGGAAAATTATAATTCTCATATTAAATGAGAATTATAAAACCCTATAACTATACACTAAAAAATAATAATCTTTTTGCCTCGGACTCACGAACTTTACATTTGATTATTTCAGTTCCAGTTTATAATTTAATGGATTACATAACGTGCTTGATTGTTTACTTCTTTTCTTTTCGTTGTCTAAAATCTTAATGCCATTATATGTACCCCAAAAAATAAAATTTAATCTTAATGCCGTTACGCCATCGTTTCCTAAGTAATACATGGGAGATTTACATTTTTACTATGATTAACGTTATAAATTATTAAAATCAATAACCAGTATACTATTTAATTAAATGAAAAAAAGGATGTAAAGTTAATAAACAACATAAAATAAAACAATTAACAAGCAAATAGGGTTCTAACAACATGTGAAAAAGCAACTAGCACTAGCATTTATCATAATAAATTTAGGTTTGTTATGAAACAATCGATTATTAGAAGAAGAAAAAAATGTAATTTAATGATAGGTAAATAGAAGAAAAATAAAGAAGTTTACCAAAAAAACGTAAAGATAATTTTTTGTCTATATACAAGATTTGTACACATGAGCTCCTATTATAAACTGTCAAGTTAATATGGAATTGATCTGGATCTATTGTAGAGGTCTAATTGAAAACAAAGCCTAAAAGACCCATCACACCCATGCAACATAGTCGCAAAGACAAACCATCTCGCAATAAGAGTATGGATCTCGATACATACTTGGCCACCAAGCTTATATAACTTAACCTGAAAGTAATCATCATTATCGAAAATCAGCAGCTCAGACAAGTTAGCCGTCATCAAGAACCAATGAAGGGTTGGCAGCTCCAGCTTGCTGCCATGGACCACAGAGTCTTCTTTGAACATAGGCTTATCCATTAAGGAATAGCATGAGAGAGGCTACCCCTCTCCACTAATCAACCAGAATATCGCCTCATGAAGGACGGTGATAAACATGGTGCTCAGGCACTATAAATATAGAGGTCATTGATCCAAGTATGATACCTCTATTTTACTTGAACCTCCTTAGATATAAAATTGACTTGAGCGTCAGAGTGCTTGTGTAGGTACCCCCCGGTCGCTTTCATACAACCCGGTGAAGCACAAACACGGCCTAACCAACTCGCTACACGATATAACATCTCGCCTAAATCTCAAACTCCAAGCATCTCGCGGACAACGTAATCTCTTCCTTCTCTTCATAAACATCATCCATCTTCAATCGTGTGTGGTTAGGCCCAGCCCATTTGGTGTTGAACTGATCATTAGCGCCATATGTGGGAAACAGTAAATTTCAAATCTCACTCTCTAGAAATTGAAAA